TATCTACATCTATCTATATAGATGTAGATATATATGAAGATATAATTGTACTGCTGATTGCTGCTGCTGTTTTGAAAGGAGCAGTGAATGCTTAAATTTTTTTCTTTTAATTTTTTTATAGCTTTTTTTTTTTACCATATTTGCATGCTTATGTCTGGTAATCTGAACAACTAATTTGAAGACAACAATATGCAACATAATAAACATTGTTCAATTCCTATTACTTTGTTTAGTGAAATTCTGTATTGTTTCTAAAGTTTTTCCTAAAATTATTTTTATTCTCTTAAAAAAAATCCAACAACAAAAAAACCAAAACAGACAAATCTTTAGCCAATCTAAACAAAACAAAAACAAAACAAAGAAGACAGAGGAAAGAAAGATGCAAATCCGTGTAATTAGAAATAAAAAATGTGAGGCCATTTATTGGATGCCGGGTAACTGAGTATGTGTAGAAGGGCTGAGTTGGAGGGGAGTGAGAAGATCCACTGGGCGCGTGTTGTTTTGAACCTCTGCATTTCTAACCCTGGATCTCGAGATGCATCGTGCCTGCCCATCAGACTGTAAGGTTTATGTAGGGAATCTTGGCAACAATGGCAACAAGACTGAGCTGGACCGGGCTTTCTGCTATATTGGACCACCCGAGAGTGTGGGTTGCTAGAAACCCTCCTGGCTTTGCTTTCATTGAATTTGAGGATCCCTGAGATGAAGTGGATGCTCTCCAAGAGCTAGATGGAAGAACATTATGTGGCTGCCATGTCAGAGTGGAACTATCCAATGGTGAAAAGAAAAGTCAAAATTGTGGTCCTTCTCCTTCTTGGGGTCGTTGCCCTCAAGATGATTGTAGTAGGAAGAGTCCTCCACCTCGCCGCAGGTCTCCATGAAGGAGAAGTTTTAGCAGCCAGAACAGATCTCTTTCTAGAGATAGAAGAAGAGAGAGAGATCACTGTCCAGGGAGAGAAATCACAAGCTGACCCGATCCTTCTCTAGGTCTCCCAGCCCATCTAGATCAAATGAAAGGAAACAGAAGATCAGTTTTCAGGAGAAGTGGTGTACAGGAATTAACTCTGCTGACAGGAGTATGTACAGAAAATCCAAGTTTTGTTTCAGACTTCATAAGCTTGATGCATTTTTAAGATGTTTTAGCTGTTGGCCTTTGTGTCTTGGAACAGTGACACAACAATGTAACTTTCTCTGGTTTGAGATGGATCATACGAGGCATGTAATACCAAGAAGTGTTACTTTACAATGTTCCCTTAAGCAAAATTAAATTTGCTTTCCACTTTAGTCTTACACAGACTGAACATAAACCCCTAAACTCTGCCTAGTTAAAGTGTGATGTTCTAACATGACAGAAACAAAACTGGAAAAAAATGAACAAGACCTGTTTCACAGCTGAGATAATAGTGTACAGAGGTGCCACCGGGTACAGAGAAAGGCCACATGCAGAACTAGGTGAGTGTGGTTTTAAACATGGAACCAGTCTTTATCCTGGGCAGAGGTTTCCTGATTGGTAGAGTCAGGCAAATTTCAAGGGAGTCACAAAGTTTCCTTCTGTGATGCTGCATACCAGTACGTAGCTGTTGGTGTCTTTATTTGGAAACCTGAGATATCAAAGAACCAATGTCCTGCCAGTTTAAGGGTACATCGTAGAGCTGAACATTTGCATTACTGTGCAAGATTTTTTCATGCTGTCATTTGTCATATGTTTTGTGAGACTCTTTGGGATTAAAGTTTTGATTACAAATTGTTAAAAAAAATAAAAATGTGAAA